CGGATCACCGCCGCACCGTCACGGACAAAGAGGAACTGAGCTGAAAATGCCATCAGAGAGAGAAAGGAGGTCGCAGGGGACAAAGACGGGGTCGCAGCAGTTGCCCCAAAATACCCAACTAAATTTAGGGGGTGACACAGGGTGCAGAGGAGGAGATGAGTTGGGGGGGATGGAGGGTGAGGGGGGGTCACTGGACGGTTTTTAGCATGTAAGCTCTTAGAGCCCTCGGCTTTATTCCTCTCAACTCTCTCTGGCCCTGTGATCTCTCACTGGCTGCAACAACAAAGAAAACAGCTTTTGCAGATGAATGTGGTCTGAATGTGATGAGATCTGATTTCACAGGTTAGAGGAGACGAGCTGGTGTTTCAAACACAGCGGCCGATGAAACAGATCCAGAACGTTGTTACAGGAAAGTGATTTGTTTTTTCAGGGACGAGAAGTGGACGGGATTATAATACGATCGTAGCCTGACCCGATGCTGGGTTGTGTCTGTGATCGAGCAGGGGCGGTTAAAGGAAAATTCGGGGGTCCCAAGTAAAAAGGGATCTCCGGGCCCTTAAATTTAGGAATCTCATCAGGAAGCTCATCAGGCAGCGAACACGTGAAGAACAACTTTCTCGACCTGCACCAAAAGGCTCGCTGGTATTTCCCCCGTACGCAGGATCTGATCTAACCACCCTCGTGCCTGGGGAGAGATTAAAGTGGGATCTGCTCTGTCAGCGGTGAACTGTCTGTGCTGACTGATCGAGCGTTTATGCTGTAAAAAGAGAGACCTCAAAGAGAGCAGCATGTCAGCATGGCGGCTCAATTTATAGCAATCCCTCCACCAGCTCTTTAGTCACAGAGTCACTGAGTAACCCTATCTGTGCATTACACACACACACACACACACAATACAAAAATAAATGCTTTCCTCTCTGTGGACGATTTAATGGGCACTGAACTGTATTTGACAGATTTGAAGTAACTGAAACCCAAACAGAAAATCATACCAGTAATAAATGCTTAAAGTTTTCTCAAGTAGCAGCGATATAAACCTAAAGCGAATTACATTTAAACATAAATATCCTCAGCTCATAACTTATAATTATTGTTATTATTCTGTAAATATGAAATCCACCTGATTTCTCCTTAAATCAAACACGACAGCTCGAGTGAAGAATACAGGAAAATGGAAGGTGTGACGCTGAATGATGGTTATATTTATCGTCATGGTAATTGCAGCAATACATTATCTAATTATTAGTCTTATAATTAGGACTCTGTTTGCGTGTGGACAGTATGAGATGGTTGAAATCTCCAGAAAACATAAGCAGGACAAACTAAAGTGAAGCTTCTTTTATCCAATACCAAGAATGAAAAGTTACTCTCAATATTTTTTATGTTTTTACAACAAATATAAAATTTCCCCCCTGAATTTAAAATAATAATTACATTTTATAATGTTTATAGTAAATATATTAGAAGTATGGGCTCCAGATTCCTGCAAATTACATGTGTAAAACTAAAAAAATTTGAAAAATGTGTAACCAAACATACAGATAATATGAATTCTATTTCTTTATCAGTTAAACAATCTTGATTAACACCAGGAAGCGACAGTTTGTCAGGTTTTCTTTAAATCACTTTTCTCCGAGCTCTTGTTGCAGTGTATCCCGCCTCCGCTCCCAGGGGCACTGAGGCCTTTCACCACTTTCACATGATTTACATTTTCATTAACACTGATGTTTGTTTTCTGTCAATCTGCACGTTTTAAATGTCCGGCAACAGCGACACACGCTTCCTGGGGCAAAGGTCGAAGAGTTTGAGTCAAGAGAAAGAAAACGTTGACGTGAAAACATGTCGAGCAGTTTCAACCCTCTGACGACGCTGACGTTACCAATTTCCATTTTGTTTCTCAGTCTCTCGCAGCAGCTTCTAAAGTTCCTGTTCAGACGCCCTGTGCTGTCACTTGGTATTTGTATGAAATAGGTATGACCAACCAGAGCCCACAGTGTTTAGTGACATTAACAATTAATGCTATTTAACAATTTATTAAAAAATGGCAGGACATGGTGTATACATTCTACTATTTTTGTTTACAGCACATCACCAACTCTTTTTGTTTTCTGTCAGTTGCATGTTAGAAACGTCATTAACACGTCTACTCCCTCGCTGGGAATTTCCCTGTGGACATTTAAATAGTTTTAAAAGAACAACAGCTCCAGAAAATGTCTGGAGCCACCAACTCTAACTAACTCAACTAACTAACTCAACTGACGTTGACTTTTAGACAAACGTCATGGGTTCGGTGCAGGTCTGAATCAGTCGTCAGTCCACCCCTGGTGAGCTCCCTGGTAATATATTCACTCTTCTTCTTCTTCATCTTCTGGCTGCTCCACTTTCGGGGTCGCCACAGCGGATCATCTGCCAATATATCCACTACCCCTCCTATTTGTGATCCGCATGTTTGTTTTGGCACAAGTTTTACGCCGGATGCCCTTCCTGACGCAACCCTCACCATTTATCCGGGCTTGGGACCGGCACTAGAACTACCCAAAAGAGTGTCCCTAGTGGCTGGTTTGGTAATATATTCACTCATTTGTCACTGAAATCTGAAATGCAGAAAACCCCTTAACTCCAAAGCCTTGTATCATTAAAATCAAATTTAAGGAGATCTTACACAGTTATCAATTTAAGTTCTGATGAAACTGTGCATCCCATCATGACAGAAAGCTTTCACAATTTATAGAACATGACTTTAATTATCAATTTCTGTTATAGAGGGATCAACCTAACAAACCACCCATGCCATGCACTTTAGGTGTCGGAGCTTTTCAGTGGTGTTTACAGCACCACTGAAAACCTGCAGTTTTCACACTCAGCTCTGGACAACACTGTGACGCAGCCTGAGATGTTTGCAGCAGCAGCAGCAGAGGTGCTGTGGAAAAGAGGTGGTCTGGCGGACGCTGAGCGAGCGTCACTGCTGGACTCCAGATGTGCTGCCGAGTGGAAGGTTTCACCTCTGGAGCCTCCGTCTGAGGAGAGGAGTGACACAAACCCTGACAGGAACTTGGCTCAGCCCACACACACACACACACACACACACACACACACACACACACACACACACACACACACACACACACACACACACACACACACACACACACACNTTATTTGAAAAATTATGCCAAATGTGTGTAAATAAATCAAATTGTGCCAGAGGGTGGCAGCAGTGTAAAACATGCAGAGCCAAGTTTTGGTTGATCCTCAACTTTTTATGTGTAACATCTTTCCACGGTCGCTAAGTATCTGAAACTCATTTATAATACGAGTGAGATTACAGACGACTCTGCTCTAAACATCCTGAGCTCAAACAAAGAACAGCCTTCATTTCCTCCGGGGCCAGTTTGAATCTCAGTGTTCAGCATAATAGTAATAGAATGTCACTTTTCAATCAGTGTGACAGACCAAGTCCTTGAGATTTTACATCTTACAAAGCGATAAGATGCCCAAGGTTAAAAAGAAATGTGTTTAAATTAAATATAGTAAAATATGTTTTAAGGGATTTAAATCAATGATTCGTTTACAGTTTTTCTTTCTGGATGTGTGATGTTTACGAACCCTCTGTCTGTACATCAGGAGGCAGATCCAGGATTTCTTTTTCAATTTGTTTTTGCAAAATCTCCAGAGAATAACTCACGGAGTTTCACAGGAGCTTTTAAAATTAAAACACATGAAACTTCTGCAACAGTCTTAAAAAGAAAACTGATGAATAACATTTGGTTTCCATTATGGAAAGTGGAGTCAGACGTGTGTTTGGCTTCTGCACGAAAAATTCAGTCCAACAGGAAAAATCTGTGATTTATTTTCCAAAACCTTTACATTTCTTTTTGTTCAAGGCTTTAATTTCAGGTGCACTGACACTTTTCATGAAGCGAACAGATTTCAACCTGATAGAACTCAACGTTGAGAGAGAAACTGACTGAAGCTTCACTGAAGCTTCTCTGAAACCACCACCTTTTACTTTGACCTGATTTAATCTCGAAGTTTTTCAAAGGTTCTTTTTTCCCCAAGGGGAGGAGATTTTATGCTTAAAAAAAAGAAAAACTGTTCTATAACTTATTGATGTAAACCTTTTACCAGAAATCTTTCTGAAATGCGCCTGGACGCCCTCTCACGCAGTTAACACCGTGCTATGATACGGTTTGGTGAGCGAGCGCGAGATGCCCATGAGGAGAAAACAGAGAATAAATGGGATGCAAGTTAGATGCATGAATCGCTTCAGAGAAGGCGAAACGGAGAGAGAGAGGTGAGTGTGATAAATCTGTGTCACTGTCTGCCCGTCTCACATCGCTGAACACACACACACACACACACACAAAAAGTCCAGTAGCAAACGTGGTGCATTTCATAGGAGAGAGGTGCTGCACTATGCATGGATGGGCAGTGGAAAACCATCATGTATTCATGATTTCTGAAGCAGACACCTTCAGTTTACCATGAAACAGAATAAATCAGATGGGTGCGTTATTATTCTGTGTGTGTGTGGACTCCACAGAGGAAACCAGCTTCATACTGTGTGGACAAAATAAGAAGGAACACCAGATAAAAAATTTTGAATTTTGCTTTTATTTCAGGCTGATTCTCTTAATGCCCATGTTTAGTTTTAAATCTCATTTACTTTTATCTTGTGTCTTTTATCACATCTTTCTCTCTCTCTCTCTGTTTTTACTTTTATTTTTTATCCATACTTGCATTTTCGTTTCTGTGCCATGACTGTAAAGCACTTTGGCTCAACTCTCTTGTTTTTCACATGCTGCGAAAATGAATCTGTCTTGATTTTTAATGCAGTGTAATCCAGAAACGTACTCACTCAGAGTAATACCCACATCATAAACCTTTGAATGGAAGCTGTTCAGTGTTTGTGTCATTTTGTTCGATGCCGTGTCGATATATTGAATGAATGTATGTATAAAGTGTATAGCAGTCACATTACTAATAACAAATATACCTGCCTGAACTCTCCTGATAAGTGAGAACAAATCCATCGAAGTTGTTGTAGCCATCTGAGGTGAACAGGATGTGCAGGAGATTCCCGGAGCTTTTTATCGGTGGAGGCAGCCGATCCCCGCAAAACCGGCCAATCACAGGGGAGCTCAGGTCGTCGCCGTCACGCACCTCGACGTAGTCGTAACGACAGTTGTGGTCGGACTCCAAACTGAGCAGCGAAAACCTGCGGCACAACCACGCAGAGAAGTTATGTTGAGGTCACAACTTTGCTAATAAGCAGCGATGACTTGAGGAAACGATGAGTCTGACTGTGTTCCCAGCATGCATTGCACTCCACTCACACTCCAGGCCCTATGCCGCTTCCTGTTCCAGGTATTTACTCCTCACTCTAATCTCAACATGTGCCACATTCAATGATGCCGCTGATGCACAACTTGCTGATTTGCTGTGTTTCTGGTGAATATTTGCGCCGACCGGAGCCGAACGTAACCTCGAGGAATTCTGTAGCCGTTTCATGAAGCCAGACGCAGACAGTAACACTTTCTGACTGCTTGACTCACTGTCGAATCACCAAGGGGCTCAGTAAGTCCTCTCATAAACATGCTGGGCTTTTCACATCGAGATTAACTACATTTCTTCTTCGTGTCTCTCTCTCTCTCTCTCTCTCTTTCTCTGTCTGCTGTGGAAAAGGGGCGTTTACCTGAGCTCGATGCTTCTGCCCCTCTGCGCTTGCACTCTCCACTCACATCGGGCGTTTGTCGGGTAACTCTCCAGGGCTACGTGACCCTGAGCTCGCTGGATGACGCCTCCACACGCTAGAAGGGAAATGTCACTTTGGTTTAGTAAATTCATATTCACAGGGCGGACATGTTTTTTAAACTTGGCGGGTGATGATGGGAGAATTCACAAACCGTGATTATTGACGTAATGCTTTGGAGGAGTAAAAGAAAAAAAAGAAATTTCTGGAAATTGATTTCTATCACTCTTCACTCCTTTAGTGAATCATTCATCGAGTTATCAGCCATTTTAATTAAAAACTCTTCGACAGTTTGATTGTGAAACACCTCACAGATGACTCAGGACAACAAAGCCGCACAATGGCTCCTCTTGTGTACGTCAAAATAACTCGGAGGCCTCTCCTCCATGTGGAATTTTTTCCACCACATGAAAGTTTGTGAGTGAAAAGCAGGAGTGGCAACGTGTTCAACCTGTTTGCATGCATCGATTAATAAACCATGAGATCCACCAGCCCACACTTTATTCAAATCATTTAGCTGCGGGAGCTTCGGCAACATTATGCTGATGATTTGGTTTTCAAAGAAAAATTAGAACCTAAAAAAAAAAAGGATGCTGGCGCCACCAAGTGACCAAGTGGTGTATTACAAATGTGTATATTTGAATATATCATGATGGATATTAAAGAAATGGAGTATTAAGTGAAGGATTTTCTTTGTAGACTTGTAAATAATAAAAAAATCTGACACTAAACTGACAAATGCAATCTTCACGACTATGTATTTTTGTGATCAATGCATTCTCAGAATATTAGACCTATAGAAAGTTAAGACCTTAGAGTAACTCACTCTTGCAGTCCCCTCCACTCCAGCCCTGGCGACACTCGGTGCAAAACTTCCCATTGACGAAGAAATCGTCGTTGGCCTTCCAGGTTCCGTTGTGGCAGGTTCTACAGTTCTCAAACAGGCTGCAGCCTCGCAGGGTCAAAAGCACAAAGAGGACGACGGTAAAAATCTAAAGTCATCTGCTGCCACAACACTTTGTATGAGTCTCGGTGAGAGTGTACCTGGGTGGATGATACAGGGGTCACACTGATCCAGGGCGTTGCGGCAGCAGGGGACAGTGTACCCTACCCTCGACCCTTTGGACGGACAGCGGCACTGGATCAGGTGGTACTCACAACACGGACGACACATGACGTTCCACTCGGCGCTCGGACAGTTGTCCCCCGCAGGAGCTGTGGACACAAAACAAACAAAAGCCATTGGATCAAACTTAACAGGAAACATCTGACCTCCGACATCTTAGTTATTGGTTGTCAAAATAAAATGTGACTGAAGAATTACACCAAGATATTTTCTTTCAATAAAACTTTTGCACGTGTGGTTACAGAACACGTGTCCAGAAACACGTCTCCTCCCAGAGTCCTCATCATATTGTACATTACAGTAGTATGTTCTTGAACTATTGTTCCAACTGAATTGTTGTTTTCTCATTTAGCACAATTTCTTTATCACGATCAGAATCTGGGAGAAACACTGCCGATGAGAATATTTCCTTTCAGCTCACTCAGGTGTTTACATGCGTATGAATGCTGCCTCACTTTTTCAGATTTCCAACCAAGCTGTTGTTGAAGTACAGAAGAACATTGACCATCATAGAATTTAAGGAGGTTCTCACACAACCGTCGAGAACTGACATTCTCCGGGGGGGGGGGGTCCCCCCTCAGCTCGGGGCCCCATGATTCAGACATTGACTGATTCAGATGGGGCTACAGCTAAGTGTCATCATCCCATGTTTTATTCAACCCATCAATAGCTATAGATTTCTGTGTTAAGTGTAAATAACAAAACCTCCCAGATATCGAGCCCTCGCTAATACGTCTGACATCTTCATTCATTAACAATATATGGGTTGAACAAAGGCTCCAGCAGGAGAAGATACGTGTTATTCTTATTTCAGTCTGAAGCATAAACTGAGACCAGAGGAAATGACTCATCAGGAAATAATTCCAGTTAGTCAGCACGTATACGTAAACAGGCTTTTCGTGAAAATGAGCAGCTTTATAAAAAAAAATATGAAGGAGATTTATATAAAGTTGTGTAAAAGTGAGAACAACATTCAATCAAAGCTGTAATAAATGCTTTTTACTCACCATGAGGCCAAGCTGTGACACAATAACAGATATTTAAGAGGAGGCAGTAGAGCTCAGGGTACACGTTCATCTTCCTCGTGAGGAAAGTGAACATCTTAGCTGCAACAAACTTCCAACAAGGTTCAGAGAAAGTAGCTCCAGCTCCGAGTTAGATCATCCTCTCTGCTCAGAACACTGCATAGCTGCGGATGATGAATTCTTCCATCTCCCCATAATAGAGAGAAATCCTTAACCCATTCCTCTCGTGATGTTTTCATTCACCAAAGCGTTGCATTTGCTTTGAGATTGTTCAGCTCACAATCAGTGTTCAATCTGCAACTGGTTCCACTTTCTCTGCTCCCGTTATGAGCTCAGGCTGAGCAGAGCACGCTGCGACTAACTTTGCTGGCAAAGTGAGTGGAAAGAGCATTTGAGGGAAATGAAAACACGCTAACGAGAAAAACAGAGATGAAGAAAGTCTAGAGGGAAAAAAAAAAGTCCATCTGTCAGGTCACGGAGAGGATTCAAGGAACATTATTTTTTGGGGAAGCTTCTTCTCGTTCCAGACATTGAAAGTCATTAGAAATATAAATATATGCTGTTCCTGCACGACACAAACGAGTTTACTGACGTGTCATCACACACCAGCTGTCAGATCCCAGACATGACAGCTTCACAGCTTCTTTGTAGACAAATACCAGATGTTGCCTGTAATGACCCCATTCAAATGTTTATGATGTCAGTCTCCGCAGATCTGCCAGGAGCAATGAGGCTGATAGCAGCGCCACAGCCCATTTCAGGACCAAGGTTGCTTTTCCATTACCTAAGTCGTTATTCTATGATTTCATATCTGTTCCCATCTTTTCGTTTCCAGCAGGTTGCAAGCAGACGGACGGACAGATGTGACTTCAACTGTTTTTTGGTCTTTATAAAAACATTGGGACTTTCACTTTATTCTTTGTTTTATAGTTGTTGGTGCAAACGTTAATAGTGTTCTACATGATGCAGGTCTCGGGCGGGACGGTGGTAAAGTGGTTATCTCTGTCGCCTCAGAGCAAGATGGTTCTCATCAACCCTGACTCAGAGTTTGCATGTTTTCTCTGTGTCTGTGTGGGGGAACTCCTCCCACAGCCCACAGAGAGGCAGCTTAGGTTACTTTGAGACAAAGGTGGGTGTGAATGTTTGCTTGTCTACGTGTCAGCCCTGTGATCTGCTGACAACCTGTTTGACGACTTGTTCTAGACGTACATCACCGCTGCCGTTGGTTCAAAGGATACGAGACATAGATGATATATGTGTGGACGGAGGATGTAGATCTACTAAGTTCAGGGGGAACAGGGTAAAACCGTTGACTGAATATGATGAAGGACGACATGACTGCTCGTAAAAAGTGAAGCCAAATGACTTGATCATCACCTGGTGGTCAAACTACTTTTTCTCAAAGATGGATTCTGTAGTTTTAGGAAGTTCTTCTCACACTGATGTGTATTCAGGTGTATACTTTTACACAAAGAATGGTTTTAAGTACTTATTTGATACTATAAAAACAGGGGGGGGGGTGTTAAGTGTCTTTCAGACCTTTGCAGCTTCGCTCTTTTGGTTCAGTCTACGTTTGATGAGATGGCTGCCGAGGATATTTAAACACATAAAACATCGTTCATAACAATCAATGAAAATCCTGCACACAAGATAAAACTGTGGAAACCTGGTATCAATTAACTGTCCCATCAACAAAGAGACTTTTCCACAACCACACATCAAGAAACATGAGTGGGTACTTCTAGATTCTCGAAACCTTTGAATCAACTGCGATCGAGATAAAGTCACGTTGAACGTCATCGTACGAGAAAGATGGAAGTCTGGGAGATTACGTGTCCTAATTCAGACAAAACTTTAATTTATGTCACTGTTGAAATGAGCATCAGAGACCAGTGTTTTTCAGCTCATGTTATTACCCATGGTGCCCTGAGCTGTTTTGAACCCTCCATGTTGCCTAGAGGAATATTCCATTTGGAGACTCTTAATTGATAATAAGCAAACAAGGTAGGCACAGCAGGGACATATAGAGGACCTCCCACTGAGACACTCCTTACACAAGGCCCCAGAAGAATGAGGACAGATACAAAGCAGCTACATGAACTAAGCTCTGAGGATAGAAACTGTAAAGTAGTAGAAATATTTGGCAGCAGTTTCATTTCACCAACTCAAATCTTTGTAAAAAACAAGCAAATGAACATTGGCTTTATTCAAATTTGCGAAAACGAATCATTTTATACCCAAAGGCTCAAAACAGCGACATGATTGTTACATTATTTTTCAAAATTAACTGCAATTTGCATGTTCAACATCACTTCTAATAAAAATATAACAATCAGAATCAAATAGCTCTCGAAAATTTTAATCCAATACCAAATTAATATTGTCTCCCCTCCCGCTGACTAAAAGAAAAACGTATATATCTTCCTTCACTCGTAGCTTACAACATGAAAGAGACCTCATATTTTTCTCTATTAAAAAATAATTTAAAAGAGGCCTCAAACGAATAAGAAGCTTTGATATAATAATATGTACAAATTCCTTCAAACTTAAAGGAATGGATCACTGAAAAATTTAAAGTCACTAATTTTCTACTCACCACTATGCCGATGGAGGGGTGGGTGAAGTACAATTGAAGTCAATGGTGACTTACACTCCAGATGTAATAAAACAACCGGTGGTTGGTGTCATCCAAGTGTCCGAAAGCACAGAAACGAGGTCATTTTCACCGTGTTTTAAGCCTAAAAGTCCACAGGAAGTGGCTAAGCTAGCTGACTTAGCTTCACGTTGGTGTCTGAGGGTCCGTGAATCACCTCGTAGGAAGATATCAGCAGAAATTCAGGCTTAAAACATGGTAAATGACCTTTTGTGCCGAATATGGATGCCGGGGCTTGCTGCACTCGGATGACACCACACGAGCGGCGGCATATGGAGGCATGTAGTGTATTTTCTGTTGTTTGGTTACCTCTGAAGACGAAGAGGACACCGTTGACTTCAATTGTATATCGGATTGGGCTGATCCAAAGTTTACTTCTGAGACTCCAGAAGAGTTTTGTGGACTCAAACACTTCACCCACCATTTCAACATAAAGTGGTGAGTAGGTGATGAGTGAATTTTCATTTTTCGATGAACGATCCCTTTAAGTTAAAGTGTATTAAAAAAAAAAAAAAACACCCACAAAACTAGTAAACCCAACCAAACGCTCTGATTCCACGTAGGCAAAGTATCGCTTCATATCACAGTTTTACTATTTCATTAGTTAACATTCTTTCGCCACATGGACAAACGCTACACGTTTCTCTGCCAGTAGTCAAACATCAGGATTGTCTTTCTCCTCTGGTAGCAGTTTTTCTTTGGTTGAGTCCTGAGGGACTTTATGGGGAGTGCCCTTCATTTCTCGACTTTTGACAACAGTGTAGGCTGACGAGCCGCCGAGAACCATCATGTTACTGGTCCACCACAGCGCGCTTTTAGTGGACGATTCATACAGCACTGCGATGACAGTCTGCGCACAGGCTTTTGCTGTCCCTGAGACGTTGTGTGTGAGCGGACTGGTAAACTTGATCTGGAGACCTGTGACGTACCCGATGGCGAAACCAAACACTCCTCCTAATATCATCATGCCCCAAAAGCCCATGTCAAAGGCACGGCTGAAACTGACGAGACGACCGAACTCTCCGAAGATAAAAATGAGCGGCAGGAAGAGGACGCAGGCGTTGATGTTGTTGTAGTAGGACAGTTTCCAGATGTTACCATCCACTGCTGGCATCACCTTCTTGGTGTAGATGGCATTGAGGGAAACACAAGCGCTGGCAATGACCCCGAAGAAAACCCCTGACCACGAGAGGGACCCTGCTAAACCTTCCTGGTCCACACCAAGCCAGAATCCACCTGAGAAGACAGAACACATAGAGGATATCAGTGACATCATTACACAGCTTTTCACACACACACACACACACACACAT